CAAAACACGCGCGATAAAGGTAGGTTCATCTTTTATTCATGTTCTAAACGGATGTGAGGGCTCCCTGTGCCGTTACTCGTGTTATGGTCTTCGGTTTGAACGAGGCCGCAAATCGTTGCTTCGCTTTGATAGATAGCTACAATCATGGACGAAAGTCTTGGGACAAATTTGTACTTTTGGCGCTTTTGCGCACACGCCAGGCGCGAATACAACTTCACCTGCCTAACCTCGCCCCCCACCCCCCCATACAATGTTAAAAACTACTACCTGCAATTTCATCTGATTTTAAACATTGTGCTGGGTAGCGAGAGGGGACAACAACGCGTTTTTAAAGGATATAGCAGCGGTTTTTTCAAACTCACTGGCAATAACCATCGCCCGTAGCTCAGCGATTTAGACTGTAAAAAATGTGTCCCTTCTTACAAACAAACAAAAACCATCTAGTATGAAACAAGTGGGAAGCGACATGTGTCGATATTCAGAAGTGATACTCGAGCTCTTCGCGAGCTTCTCGAGAGAAAGGCATTGTTCACGAGTGAGGCCGCGTCCACACTACGCCGGCGAAATTTGAAAACGCAGCTTTATTTCTACGGTTAGGTCTACCGTCCACGCTAACCCGTCACGAAAACGGAGCTTTTCGAAAACGCTCTTTAAAGCGGAGGAATTTGAAATCGATGGCTTTTCGCTTTATTGTGGACTGAAAACATTTGAAAAACGGAGCTTTTCGAAAACGATGGCATCACGCTAATCATATGATTTCCATGACCGGCCGAGTTTTCCTCAAATACAAATCCAAAATGACCAGTGATTGTTGCGTTTTCCAATTCCTCCGGAGTAATGTGGACAAGGCCTGAACTTCTGGAGGGAAAATTGGCGCTGTTTGAAGCCTTTTTAGCCAGCGTACGTGTAAACTCACGAAAAAAATAGATTATTTGCAGTCTACATTTCATTTGTCGTTTTCGTTGCGCTTTTTTTGGTTAAAAGACTTAAGGTCCGGTCACTTGAAATGCACGTAACATTTCAACACATGTATTGCAAAACTGTTGCGCAAGACATGTTGCGCACGTTTGGCCGCCTTGTTGCACCATCCAACATCTTGTAACATGTTGTAACAGGGTGGCCAAACATGTACAACATGTAGTTCGCTACAATTTTGTAGTTGTGTTAAAATGTTGCGTACGTTTGACCAGGTTTTAGCAAATAATCAACCAAACTGAAGTCGCGATTTCTTCTCTCTGAACAACCATTTTCTCCCAACTTCTCATTAAGGAATTTATAGAGAACATTTGAGAGAATTTTCATTTGGACATCAAGGCTTCTTTTCACATTTCTTTTTAAAATGACTTTTTTTTACCTCTGCAGACATTGGTCCGTTGCTGTCTCAGGCAACTCCAACTCCCTCGAAAAGGCAAAGTTCTTCCAGTCACAGGAAATCTTTGGAAAGAGAACAGGCTGTAGAAACGGTTAAACCGGCTGTGCCGGGTGGAGAACCAATCACATTGGACGTGGCCAGGGTAACAAAAAAAAAAAAAAAAAATTATAAAATAAAACAAACCTGTACAGAGTCCTTATAGTGTTAGCAATGTAACAAAAAAATTTGAAATAATGTAATTTTTTCTTTGTCCCTCGCTCGTGTCATATTGATCTGTTCATTTTTCACATTTCATTACCGAGCTTAAAATTCATCATCTTTGTTCACTTATCACACTCACGATGACATCGACAGTGTTGATCCTAGCAGTATGCAGGAGGCCTGTCACACATGACCTTGTTCTCCATGAGTTCTCGTAGCTCGGTCATGGGTTCGATTCCTGTCGGGGACTCATATTTTTCTTTGTCCCACGCTCGTGTCATGTTGATCAGTTCACTTTTCACAATGTAATTTTTATTGACCCGCGAAACATGTAAGAGCTCGTAGGATCTCGTTATAAAGTGATCGTGCATCGAGACTGGAGTGTTAGTTTCTGTTGAGGGAGGAAAATGGGAGAACCCGGAAGAAACCCTCGGAACAAGGACGAGAGCCAACAACAAACTCAACCCACATATGACACTTAGGACTGGGTCGGGGAGAGAACCCGAGCGACACTGGTGAAAGGCGAGCGTTCTCATCATTGGGCCAACGCTAATGCCCGTGATTGCAGCAATAGGAAATTCTAGGTTGTCTGTGCCTGCCGTGCGCAATATTGAAAAAAGAAAAAGGGTTGCAAACTTGCTTACCAGGTCACACGAATGAAAGGGTTGGAAATGTCTCTCTGTAGGAAAAATCTCGCTTTTGCTCTAAATTCTTCCAAGAAGAATACAAAATGTGGCAAAAATAGTCTTAGTTAGAGAAAGCCTGCTTACAGTCGAGTTGCTTTCCTTTCCAACGCAGGATGAAACGTTTGTACGCAGCCTAGGATATATTTTTGCTGGACTGTATCGTAATCTCTTTGGCACGATCTCGCGAAAGGGTGCAGTTCTGAGAAGTTATACTTCGTTAATGTCAGTGCGAAGGAAACCCTGGGTACTAGCATGGTTACGCATGTCATATCGGCAGGACGACATAATATGACGGCTTGTTGCTTAGCAACTTCTCTGCCGAATATTGCGGGCTCGAGTTATTCTCAAAGAGGGGATCTGACTTTATTGCTTTTTTTTTCAGGCTCTCCGAGTTCTGTTATTTGGTACGCCATACACTTCCTTCAATTCGGACTGGAGAAAGCAGCACATCAACTTTTTCTCGAGCATGTCTTACGCTCTGAGCTTTTACAAGGTAATCTGTGACCACTCTTTGTTTCGCTTTGTGGACAAACCACGACTGTCATGCGCTTAACTGTGTCTAATCATTTATTCGCTAACTTAATTATTTATGTAATGATGTGTTGAATTACTGTTTGGTCTTTGTTGTTTTCCAGTAGGCTACTTCCGAGTTGCCTTTTACCTCTGTTTCAAAGCGAGTCATCGGCGAAACCATTCCTATGGAAATGTGTTCCGCCAACAGGTTCATTTTCATGCAAATCAAACTCATTTTCATGTGGAAGGTTTTGCAGTAAGACTTGTTTTGTTAAACACAGAATATTGTCTTGTATACCGAAACGGAGTCCGGTATCGACCAGTTTTCGCTGTCACAGGGTTTCCACGCCATCGCGGCGCCTTTGTCAAATGAATGTATTTGTCACGTGACTTGTGTGGCCAAAGTCACGTGACAAAATGTTTCTGTACAAGGCTGGAAGTTCGAACCCGTTGAGCAGCCTTGTACCAGGCTTTGTGCGGAGACATTTTGGCTCGTGACTTTGGCCACACAAGCTCACGTGACAAATAGATCTTGACAAAGACGCCGCAATGACGTCGAAAGCTTGGTGTGGGTTTTTTTCACACTGAGGGTTTTGTTAATCATCACGCTTATTTTAGTCAGGTTATGCTTAAATTTTATAAGACAAGTAGTAAGTCCCCGTATATAATAGTTATGCTGTGTTATGCCCTGTTATTGGTGTGAAATAACACTGTTTTTTGATCCGTTATTTTCTGTAGCTGGGTCCTGGAGGTGTCATGGCGTGTTTGCAGGGATTCCTCTTACGGTACTTGTTGTATGAACAGTCATCTATAGAACAAGTTAAAAGGTAAGTGTTCGAAAGGTTGATCAACATGCCTTCCTCCATTCAGTCACGTGGGTCATTACGGACGTTTTTAAGAACAGTTGCAGGATCGCGCGCTTGCTCTGATTGGCTTGGAAACCCTATCAGTCTGGAATATAAAACACGGAAAAGTATGCTTTATTATTTATTATAATATAGATAGGACCCTGCGCGCGCTCTGATTGGTCAGAAACCCATGTCTTATTACAGTACAAAACATAGTAAAAACGTGTTTTATTGTTTTTCGCCACATTACCTCTATATCATAAAGCAAACGAAGAAACCTAGGGCGTGTATTACACTGTGATAAAACACTCCGGACATTTGAGAACACTCGAGAAATGTAGAAACACTCGCCTGCGGCTCGTGTTTTCTACATTTCCCTTGTGTTCTCAAATGCCGGTCGTGTTTTATCACAATGTAATACACGGCTTAGGCTTCTTTATTTGTTAATTATCTACACAAAAAGATATTATGTAGGTAAAGCCATGTATCATACTGTCAGAAAACAGGTCGTTAGAGAACTTAGACATGAAGGAAACCATTCGCATGCGACTCACTGCAGGCATTGATAGGGCATTGCAGCCGGACCCAGAGGGCATGGATTAAAATGCTATTGATTTTTTTACTTTCAACTCTTTTGGCAACTGTCAATGAACAATCTTGTAAACTCGCGTTTTCAACTTTGCCTGGGATTCTTTCAAAATTTTGCAGAAATTATCTCGGTGAAATATTTTAACCTCCATGAGGTTGCTTTTGATTATTTAGTTTAAGTTCCATAAATCGAGAAACTTTCACGGAGAAAAGTCAGTACAGATAGACTTAACTTGGTCTGATTGTTTGAACTTGAACCGCTTAGAGCGTATTATCTGGGATCATAAATAAGCTCAGTTCAATCGCTGTTTGAGATAAGTCAGAGTACTCCGAAAAGCTTATAATTTCAATAGCTGTTTCAGTTCACTTAAACTCTATGAGCTTTGAATGTGAGTAAATGCCCGAAATGAGCCTGTTACCTTGATTTGTTCCTCTGTTTTTCATAGCATGTTAACACCCATGTCTTCAGACCGTCAGAGGGCACTGATTACTGCCATGGCAAAGATGTTATGGCAAGCTGGAGGATACAAACATGCCACGGTCGCACTGTGAGTCTGATACTTGTATCCTTTCCCCTTCAGGGGTAGAGAGTTGCTCACATTATTGTACTGAGGGAGAGACTGGTGGTATAAGTGTGGGTTGGAAATCGTGTTTTGGTGCCGTTGAGCGTATTCCTCACCAACATCGTCTACAGGGTCTCTCATCTTCCCACCCTTCCCTCTCCTCTCAAGGTGAGAGACCCTGGGAACGACGTTGATACCTCACTTGACAAAATTTCGCAGTTGGTTATTATGCCGAAGTTTCGCAGAAGTTACAGAAGAAGTAATTATAAACGCAAAAGGGTGGCTAAAATTGGGAAAGACTAAGATGGATTACGACTAGCCTTCTACGCAGACGTTCTTATGGATCGCATTCCCCCCTGGAAAGATCACGTGACGGGCTCCAAGAGCGTCGGCCTAGGAGGCTAGATTTGAACTTGAAAAATTTAGGTTTAATTTTTCAAGATTCCTACTCGTGACGTTACCCCTTTCATTTCTATTTACAGACCGTGTGGTGAATGTAACTGGATAACAATGGAGGACTACAGAGAGGATCAGCTTACGGAAAAGGTATATTCGTACAGTTGAATTTCTTTAAAATAAAATTTTCCTGCTCAGTCTCGCGGAATAGATAGTGTTCTGTTCGAGTACTTTTCTCTTTTTTTCAACTTTATTCCCAAACGCAGACATTTGTGCATCGCACTAGAACAATAGTGCAGGAGTTTAGCCTCACTCTTTCTTCTCCGCTTGGATAAACGGTTAAACGGGGGAGGGGAGGGTGAGGGGGACTTCTTCTTCCTCGCGTTTTTTCCCCCCCCCTACCCCTTCCCCGTTTTACGTCTGCGACGCAGATTACGCTACCCTCCTAGTTTCCGAATCCACGACGGCGGACACCCAATCGAAATGCGCTCTCTCCGGCGCTAAAAAAATTCACCTTCATTGTATGCAAGGGTAACCATCGATGGACTTCTGTAGGATCCCATGCAGGAGAGCTGTAACCATGCAACAGAAAAAGCGCCGACAGTGATTAGTTATAAGCTACACCGATTTGTAGAATTCGAGAAGCCAAAATGCCTACCAACTTAGCTATGAAGCCATTAGAGGCAGGTTGTTTCGAACATAGAGTCACAGGGCTTATTAGAATTAACAAACGCTGTGTTAATTAGGTAATGAACGTGTTTTTTCCTCATAGCTTCATCTGTTTAGATTCATACATTTTGCCGATCTTGAACGATTCCTCAAGAAGCAGTTATCTTTTGTAAGTACATGATGTTATAAGATGTCTTTATTATTTGGCTAGCTCCGTGAGCGGGCAAGATGAATCAAATCCTACGCTGTGATTGGCTACCCGAGCGGGCAAGATGAAGCTATCTTGTCATTCTGGCCTTAGTTGTACATCCAATCTCTCCTTACAACGTTATGACCTTGTCAAGCCGATAGGTAGTGAGAATAAAGAACCATTAACTTGGGATATTGTCCTGAAGTGTTTGGGCCTAGCACTATAATATTTAAGTCAAATGTCTGCAGTCCTACATTTCAAACTTAACCATTCTCCGGTGATTTAATTTTTTTTTCTCGGTGATTTTCTTTTGTAGTTCGAAAGCACAAACGGAAATGGTTGCATCCTGCTATTATATTCTGTAATCTTGTCAAGAACAATTGAAAGGTATGTCTGATTTTTTCGTTACAAACCTTTCTATTTTTTGTAAAGTGCGTCGAGTCTACACGCACAAACGTCTACGTTTACGCGAAAATTTTACGCTGTGTCGATCCCTTTTACGTAGCCGGTCTTTTTTGCAACCATTACACGTAACAGCGTTTTCTAGCGACAGTTAAAGCCAAAGTCAAAGTATTCAGACCAAATTGATCACTACTCTGAAGCGCCTACTGCCATAAGAACAGTGAAACACAGACTCTCCTCCACAAACAGCCCCCTCGAGCTCTCTGTTACAGCCACCTGAATACAACGGCCAGGATTTTCTTTCCGACCGTGCGCCAATACATTCATTTTCCCGCCTATCATTGAAAGGTCCCTACTACAGTGAATTCTGCTCTAGGATGGCCGTTATTGAGAGGTTCAACTCAGTACCGATCAGAAGCCGAAGCGGACAGACAGTGCGGACAACCATGTGACCGTTGTTAAAATGTAAACGAACGTGTAACCGGTGCCGAGCGCGGGAAAAACATGTAGCATGTGCCAAGCACGTGTGAGCATGTAGCCGGTACCAAATACGGGAAGACATGTGAGTGCTAAACTCGAACCGCCGGAAAACATAAAAGATGCACCGCGGCCAAGCGCGGGAAAACACGCCACCGATTGCAAGCCGGCGGGAAAAGTCGTGCGAGTCAAATGACGATTGATTTTGGTCTTGCATTTGATTGGCTGAGTAAACGTTCCATCTGATTTGTTACGGCGGTCCTTTGCACGATTTTATTGACCAGTCACGGAGTTCAGCAACGGTAAAACACACGTAGACGTAGCATGTCTATAGAAACCGCCATATCACATAGATTTCAGACCTTTTTTGCACTCTGTATTCATGCTTTAAATGTTTCTGGTTATTTTTGTGTATTTCCAGTGTAATCGAGGACCTTGGAGATCCGAACTCGACTCTGATGGGCCCCCACGACTCGTGCACCCAGGTAGGAAACTTTGCCTCAGTCAGTTGCTGGAGCTTCTTGTTGCAAAATGTCTCCTATGATATTCTGATTGTGTACAAACACTTCGAGAGCTTTTTGTTGCTTAGCAACACGTTTCCTGAACATCGTGGGCTCAGTAGAAAGAGGCGACCGTTTCAGGTGATGGACTGCAGTAAATATGAAGTAAACTTTTAAATTTGCAATGAATATCACATAAATAAATAATTTCTCACTCTTCTCTGCACAGGCCATGATTAACTTGATGCTTACCGGCAGAGCTGCTGCTAACGTATTCAATGGCGACATAGAGTGCAACAAAAGTGGACGAAAGCTGGTAAATGACGAACTGCATTCTGTGTTCTGTTTTGTCTTAGTTGCAGTTTTTTATTTGATTTTTGTCTGACAGATCTGTAATGATAAAGTTTGACTCGCATTACACACTCCGATAAAAGAGAAAAAAAAAACATTTTCGTTCGAGCCAACTTGATGATTAGCGAGTCAGATTCAGATTCGAGAGATCTGGATTCGAGCCTTTGCCAAGATCACCGGCTATGTTGTGTTCTTGAGCAATACATTAGCTCTCACGGGCGCCTCTCTCCACGCAGGAGTATAACTGGGGACCGGCAAATTGTTAAGGACACCTGGTACCTGAATGGGGTAGACGGAATATTATGGAGCACTTGTTATTGTACATTCCATCATTGCTTAACCTTTTTTTTGGAATTTTGATAATCTTTCCCCAGCTCTCCCCTGTTTGATATAGGGTCGTGTACTCTCCCCACCCTCACCATATAGCTTTTGTAACGTTTCTCTCGTCCGCAGGCCCACCCGCTGCATGGCATTAAAGATCGAAGTGAGATCGGATTCTTATCTCTTGAAGAGCATTTCGATCCTAAATCGTTTCAGGTAATGTTAAAATGGGATAGCACGAAAATGACATCCATCTTTGAGCTAAGTAAATACTTGGAGACTGTTTGAGGATAAGTAACATGACGTAACATGTCCCCTCTGTGTTATTTGCTAACCAGGTTGGCAGCATGCTCAAGACTCCTAAGTTTCCAGTCTGGGTTGTGAACGTGACAGGTGAACGATATGGCGTTCTGTTCTCACTCAACAAGGACCTCGTCAATGATTGGTCAGTTAACTTTTTTATCTATTAGACTACTTGAGCCCCCTTAACGTTTCTTCTAAATCTTACATTTTTCACGTACATGTAATAAGCAATAAAATAATACACATTCGGATTAAACACGAACCACATTTACACCAATTCCGTTCCTACTTTGAACCAGTGTCCGTAAATCTCTGTTGATAAATTTTCCTTCACTTTCTTCCCTCTCCAGTACCTACTATCCCCTCCTTCTCCTTTGCTCTCCTTACCACCTGTGTGATGCGAGTCATTTGTGTGCTACAAGGGAAGTAGAATCTCTCTAACATATGACTTTTTTGTTGTTGTTGTTGCTGTTTCAGTTTTCTCACATTAACGCAGTGTCTCTATTTTCTTTCTCAGGAAGCTGGAGCGAAGATTTGATTTACTGTTTTGCACTGGATCGGCAAATCGAAACAGTGGTACTTCAAACGAGTGTGTGTTGACCATAGGTAGAAAACCTTTTCTTTTCTATTTCTTTGTAACATTTTGGGCCACGTTGTCCCGTCGGGCGGCGATCAATGACTTTACATGCTTCTTACACAAAGCATGCTGGCGAAAAAACCTGAGAACAAGTGCTGTTGGCAAGACCTGGTTTTCACTGCGACCTATGTCCAAGTACAAGCATAACGGTAGTGAGGGCACCATAACACAAGCATAAGCATGTACGCATGTGCAGAATGGATACTGAATTGCCTTATTTTCGGTTCCATATCTCCTCGATAAAGCAAAACAAGATGGCGGACTTATCTTATGCTTGGGCATACAGCAGCGCGTTCTCACTTCACATAAGCTTAAGCACAAGAAGAACAGAACTTTTTGTTCTGCGTATATTTGTGCTTATGCTTGTGTTGTGGGCATCCCCACTACCGTGTTTACTTGCGCGTATGTAAACCAGGTTTAAAGTAAGGCTTAGAGATTAATTTAAACGGCGATTAAGTTGTATCCCTTGCAATTTTCACTTCCCCACGACAGAGCACAACAGCTTTTTCAGAAGACCTGCTTGTTGTTTCGTTAGAAAAGTCCAAGTTGTCAGAGAAAAACTTCGTAGCTCGTTAATTGTAACAAGTGATCATCAGTTTCACCATGCTGTTGTTGTTCCTTTTCTTACAGACACAAGAGATGTGTTTATCCCTGATGACGTATTCGGTGAAGAACCATCTGACTTGGAAAACTGCGTAAGAACCAAGTGAGTAGAGAATATGGTCGTATAAAGACATTTAGTTATTGGTTACACCGCTTTCTTTCCTTTTAGTAAAACGAAACTTTTCTTACAAAAGTGATGAAGATGCGGAGATTTTAAAACATCTCCCCTAGGTAACTATATCAAGTTTTTTGGCGTGGCTCTAATTTATTTTCGATTCATCTGCACCCCTCACCGCTACCAATTGTCAAGCTTTTTTCAAGTTTTTGTAATTTTTTTCCACTGGAGCTGGGAGAAGAATAGTATGTACAGCGCGAATTTGTACTTCTGTAAGTGTTTTGTTAGTTGAACACGCTTTTACTCAAGACAACGATTCACATCACGTTTTCGTAGCCCCAGTGGTTCCGAAAAGTAGTACTAACACCAAGTTCTAATTTGTCATAACGATCACGGCGCAGCAGCCTTTGATCAAATTACTTCAATGCTGCACAGTGTATTAACTAAATACCTCTAGTGCAATCTGTGCACGCACAATGGCCAAGTTAAACGCATCACTTTCTGCACTGCAAAGCAAGTTAGCTGATACGTTTTTGACTGCCGGTTCCTATTACAGATGGCCTGGAGCACTGATTGAATTAAAAGATGGAAACAGCTGACAGGCAGCCATGAAACAAGTATCGTCCGAAGAGGAAGGGAAAATTGAATCAACGTGCACAGTTGCAGCGTCTGTGAAGGATGTTCGTGGTTGCTTAGGAACAGAGATGGTCGTTATGATGACAAGTTGATCGTCACGTGACAGTGTGGGCATTACTCTTGCTTTGTTCCGATTGAAGAAATATCGAAACATTTTGTTTGTTTTAGTCGATCACAAACTAACTCCAGCCCAAAAAAGGCTTCAATTTTCATTGTTTAAAAAACAGAAGGGGCCTCAAATTGCGAGAAAATGTTGTCCAACTAGGAAGAATATTTTTAAAAGAACTTGTATGTAAATTTGTCGAGAAGTAACTGTATGCTGCCAGCTTTGAGTGAAGTTTAAAGTACCTAAAGTGCTGTGCAAATTATTTTTATAATCAGGATTTGTTGGGCCAAGTTTTTGTCATGAAAATGCGTACTATTTTACAAAAAAGAATATAATTTACGTGAAGTTCCTATTTAACTACATATAAGCGAAAGCTGGTCAGTTTTAAAGCAAAGTCGGTGTGTAAATGTTGTTTTCTAAGAAAACAATAGTTGTAACCTGTCGTTTGAGTGTAAAAAGAAAAATATAAATAAAATTGTGAATTTTAATTTAACTGAGGAAGCCAACCCTTTTCAAGAGTATTGTAGAACATTGCTGAACGTAACTGCTGTTTCAGGAAAACCGTACCATGGAATGCCTGGATCGAAAAAGGAGCGAGGGTCCTGGGAAGGAGATAACTTTACTTTCACTCATTCTGTCTCTGGTCGACTGGAGACGGGAACCAAACGACAATTTAAATTGTTAATAAATACCATATGAGTGCAGTGAAGCTATAAAAGGGTGTTATTTTAAAATTATCTCATTCCTTGTCGGATACGAGAGGGTGAATTTCAATCGACTGGATGGTGTGGACACTTCATTGTGATCTAAACGAACGGATATTTTGAAAACGCGGCAAATTTGTGGCGCGGTTTTCCCTGTTTGAGTTGAATCATGGGTAGTATCCGTGGTTGAATTAAACGAGTGGAGAGCGAGCGAGACAGAGTTTTCTTCCGAATTATTTCTCGCACAATCTCCTCAGGCTCTAAAGTTGTTTATATTCTGGAAATGTGCGACAAACGAGAAAGGAGATCAGAGGAAATAGCGTTCCTGATCACTAGATTCCCTGTGCAAGTCAAAATGAAGTTAGAGTCTCAGAGGTGGCGGAGCATTTTGAATAATGGGGGGCTAATCGTTAAGCCAAGCACATACCTCTATTCATATTTTACAAAATGTCTTTTGCGTTGTTCATTTACACAAACAAACTTCTTTGCGATGTTCAATGTGTCCGTAATAAAGTTATGACAATGCGGGAGGAGGCAGTTGTTTAAACGATCCTGCTTCACCGTGCCTCTAAGGTGGGTTTCAGTTTGTGCTCGGAAGTTGCCAACGTCCTATGGGGCGCCGTTTGTAAAAAAAATGATTTAGCTTAATTTTGTCATTTTTTTCGTTATTTACTAAATAAAGTTTTGTGATGATATCATACGTCGATGATTTGATATAATAAATCCTGATTTCAAATCATGCGCTTATGATTTGATATAATAAATTATTATTTCAAAATCACAATTTATTGAACATATGAAATAAGTTTTAGTTAATCAACAACTATTGTTTCGATTTTGAGCTATGTGCTTTGCTAATCATCTGTTCATCGACCTTGGATGGCCTCACGTGAGAATCCTGAAAACCAGCCAATCAGAGTGAACTTTAGCATCTTGATACGTGGTTGCTAAATTTGGCCAATGTCTTTTGCTCTCACACGAGATAGACTACAGTGCGACATTTTGTCTAGAATATTTTCTATTCCTTCCCACCCACCCAAAAGCACTTGCCCGCTCATAGGTCTCTGTAGTAATATAGTTTGCCTGAGGGCTTTTCCAATCATCTAGGATATTTTGTAGTACAACTTAAATTGTAGGGCGACATCAGTTTGACACCTAAGTTGTAATGTACACGATTATAATAAAAACTCCTGGTATAACATGTCAATCTTGAGGGTTCAAGCACCACTTTTAGTTGTATTTAATAGATGCGTTAATTGTTAAGATAAGCAATGGGACTCTTAGAATAAGTACCTCTTTTGAGGTTT